TTACCATAGGAGGGTGGGTGGGACTGAAACATCCCACCCTGGTTGTCAATTAAATTAATAGCTTCTTGTTACTAGTAGTAAGGCACTTGTTACTACTAGCGATGCACTTGTTCCTAATAGCTTCTTGTTACTAGTAGCGTCCTTGCTCCTAGTAGTACGGCCAGGAGCCCCTAGTCGCCTCCGATCGCTCCTAGTAGCGACGCCCTTTGCTCCGAGTAGCGATGGCCCATCAGGGGTGTTTTGCATTCAATCTCACATTCTTGAAGGTACTGTGAAGAGGGAAATAGAACATGATTCAAATGGAGTTTCGGCAAAGCTAGCGAATGCATGTCAGCACGCGGGTGCAGGGGGGCAAGCAACGGTTTCTCAAGTGAAGGTGCCTTTAGGATCTTTAGGATAATTTTCTTGGACTTGTCCGTGAATGTTTCTATGTTTTCATCTCATCCAAGGTGTCCCGCTTTATGATTGATGAATGAATCCATTTATTTCTGCTAAGCCAAGATGTTTGGAACGAATCCATTTCTTTGGGTAATCAAACATGAGCAGCCGGAGCGACAATTTTCCCAGTGAGTGGAGAAATCCGCACTGGTGTCAAAGGGCAGTGCACCAACCTGCAGCCCAATGCTGCATTCGGCAGGAAGAGGGTGCATTTGGTGATGATTTGGAAAGTGTTTAGAATCATGTTTGGCCCCGGTACACCGAAAGTTCTAGGAGTTCTTTCACACAAGTTGTGTTCTGAAATCTCTTTGGGGTCAATGTCACAAAACACTTAATCATGAACGTATTCGCTCGTTTGTTTCATTTTGTGTCCCCGTTTTGTGTCCCTTTTGCTCGTGTTCACAGTGGAGATGGAGGAACTGACATCGTTTCGCCAGGAGCCCGTAGTAGCTACTTGCTCCTAGTAGTACGGCCAGGAGCCCCTAGTCGCGTCCGATCGCTCCTACTAGCGCTGCCCTTTGCTCCTAGTAGCGACACCTTCTCACTCGTTCGTATCATTCTCACCCATCCATCTCACTTCTCTTCAGAGGATTTTCCAGAGTTCCTTAGACTGATCAACTGAACAATCCTCACTCGGTCGATCCGATCACTGCCAATTCAGTCTAGGCACTGGCTGCGGCACGTCGGACTGAGTTGGCCTCCAGCTCAGAGGCCGGTGAAGGGGTGAGGCAACCAAGGCACCAAGGGTTCTATCCAGGCTTCTCGAATGTTCTCAGAAAAAGAATATATTTTGGAAAACGCTGATGAATCGATCAACGATGTTCATGTTCTTTTGTTCGAAGTCGTTTGGTTGCTGAGAATGAATGCAGTAACAAGGGCATCGCTATATCTCGGGGTGGGGGAGTGGGAGCAAGCCTTGGGATGCATGCGGTCGCGTCATTCTCTACTAATTACACAGTGGTTGCGTCCGCTTAAGGGTTCTCATGGTGCGTAAGCAAGAAGTTTATCAGTTTATGAATCTGACATTTCCGAGTTCAAGAAAAGTTGCAGCTAGTTTGGTCAAGCGGCAGATCATTTCAATGCAGACTCAATGTAGACTATGGATCATATCATATCGAGGTGATGGTTTCGGATATTTTTTATCTTCAACCCTGACTTGGGATGATTGAACCCACTGACTCATATTCTTTAAGTGCCCTAGTAGCTTCTTGCTACTAGTAGCGATGCCCGTTGCTACGTTCGTAGCGTCCTCTTGTTCCCAGTAGTAATGCCAGGAGCGCCCCTAGTAGCGTCCTTGCTACTAGTCGTAATGCCCTTGTTACTGGTAGCCGGATAAATCCTTTAACGCGGCCTTCACGGCCTCTCAGACACGGCCTTCAGGAGTTGACGCGGACAAGGCCCGGTGTGAGTCAGCAGGTGCAGCTGGGAGGCCTAGTGATGAGAGGACAAAGCACAGAACGATCTGGGATTCCAGCAGGGAACAGTTTTTGGATCGATCTAGGCACAGCAGGTGTTTACTACCTCTGTAGAGGGCTATTAGCGCACAACCCTGCAGCACCTGGATACTGACAAGGACCCTCCATTTGAGCCATGATCACTTCCCATCACCAGCGAGGGTGTTTGCTCTTTTTTGTGTGAGAGAGCCTCTCAATCAGTTTGTCTTTTCATCAACGAAGACAATCTTTTTGAAAGGCAGGAGAGCAAGCTGTTTGATGCCGTTCACCTGAGGATGAGAAGTTTAACCGTTTGTCGATGCAAAAATGGCTGATCAATCGATGCTTCAGCAGCCCAGGCAAGAACTACGACTGGTGGCCACTGAAGCGCGGCGACGGCAGGCTGTGGAGCCTGACCTACTAGCAATGGCCTCCAACCTAGTAGCGATGGCCTCCAACCTAAGGAATTTCAGAAGTAACACCGCATATGGTTGTTTTTCTGCTTCCAAGTGGACATGTCAAACGAATCTATGAGCTCTATGACCCCAAATGACAACCATCCCACGATTCACACTCGAGTTTCAAGATCAGGTGAGCTCCTGGCTCTGGAACACACAGATGATCTCCCTCCGGCGACGGTTTTGGGTAATGTTCCACTTGCTGACAAAGACTCCTTACCATGGTTCTTTGTGGTTTGGGTCACCTGGTAAGGGGATTTGCTCAAACACGTATCCTTTATTTGGTTGCACTTCTGTCCGAGAGGATATGTTTCAGCATGTGAAGTTTGTGTTTGCCAATGAGTTTTGCTCGAAGGTGATGAACCGAGAGCTCAAAGACAAGCTCTCACAGACGCAAAAGCTGCTGCACGAAAGCAAGGCACCAACGATGAAACAAGCCAGTCATTCCTTTGGGGTCCCAAGTTTCAGAGGAGCCGGGAAGAGAGTTTTACCTGCAAAGGTGATGCTGTGACGTAGCCCGTAGAGGGCATTTGTTGGATGCCTTCATGAGCTTTGAAGTGCTGAGATTTGGAGAGGGGCCAGTGACAATGTGGGGGCTCAGAACCAAAGTGTTTCTGGTCCGTGGAGAGAATCGCCACGTGGGCAATTCACAGTAGATAAGCCAGCTATCAGGGTAGTCGGATCACAACCAGATTCTTGCAAGTTCAACAATGAAGTAGGAAAAGCACTCCAAGTTGATGAGCTATCAAATGAGGCTCTTTTCGAGTCATCACATCTTCCACCTTTTAACATGTTTTCCAGCGAGGATCTGTGTGCATCTTTGGAACGTGGCAAAGAAATTGCAAAGAAAAATATATCATTATATACGTTTAAAAACAAAGTAATAACAATAATAGATAATAAATAAGAATAAAATCGAAAGCACGGGTATAATTCTATAACTATATGGTTTTAAAAACTAGCAGGGGGCCGAAAGGCGGTTTCGTGTTTCTGATCTTTGCGCTATTAGAAACAAGAAGCTTGTAGTAACAAGTGCCACGCTAGTAGTAACAAGTGCCTTACTAGTAGTAACAAAGAAGCAGCTATTAGAATTTCATTTTAATAGCTTTTTTGTTACTACTAGTAAGGCACCTGTTACTAGTAGCGTGGCACTTGTTACTACAAGCGTGGCACTTGTTACTACAAGCGTGGCACTTGTTACTATTACAATTTAATACACCTTTCATGTTTCGCACCACCGCCTTTTCGGCCCCTTTCGGTGCCAGGCATCGCAGCAGCGCCTCCGACTGCGGCGGGAAGAGCTGCAGCTCTCCGCGGTGTCAGGGCGACTCCGGCGCCAAGAGGTGACTCCGAGCGGACTTCGTATGGGTCTCTTTGAACAAAAGAAAACGATGGATTGCGAGTAGGTTGGAGGCCATCGCTAGTAGGTTCGAGTGTTAGAAGTCATTCACTTTCACAGGAGAACGTGTCTGAATGCAGTATTGACACGCTTCCCCCAAAAACTGAAACACCGAAAGCGATGACGGTTGGAACTTTGCCCCCGTAGGCGATCTTGGAGGCTTCCGCCTTTGAAGACGAAGCTCAAGTGGCCCAGCGCCTGCAGGACGAGTCGCTGGCGGCGCTGCAACAGGAGCGCCAGCGCCGACTTCGTCTTCGGCTCGGTCGGTCTCGGCGCGAGCGACCGGCGTCCGACTGGTAGGCGGAGTGAGTGTTCAGAGCGATCTGATTCACTGGATTGGAGGTCTTTCGAAAGCTTCAGCTTAGAATATGGACCTTCAAAAGCTTAAGAAAGGATGGAAAGAAGAGTCGAAGTCTAAAGGAGCAAAGAAGAAACAAAAGAGACGATCGCGTGTTTGATGGATCAACCGCCTGGGTGGAATGCGTTGTCCTGGCGCATTACTTATTTATTCGATTGATCAGGATGGATCTTGGTTCCTGTTGGGCAACCCCGTCAGAACACCGAGCATGCAGGGAAATCGTCCACCAAATGTGTGAGGGAAATCCTCATATTCCCCAAGGCACGAACAGGATCTAGAGGGAGCACACTCACCGCACACGAACATAGAGTTCACTCCACCTATGTAGCTGGGTGACAGCAGTGTGGTAAGACGAGAAGCTGAATCAGATGCCCTTGCTGATGCACCCTCACAGGATCCTTTGGGCCTATCGAGAGGTTGGTGGACAGGTTTCCGATGTACATCAGACGTGAACGATTCAAGCCGAGGACGGTGCTTGATCGATTGAACGCTTCCTTTGCCAAGGTCATGCATAGACAGGTGCCTGATCGATCGTGCCATCCTGAGTGCTTCACGGCCCACGTTCAAAGTGCCTTCGCCAACAACGGTGCCAAATTTCGCACCAGACATTCAATGTGATTCCGCGTGCCAAATCCTGCCTCCCGGACGACGTTGCGCGAGTCCTTCGACATCCAGCACCAGTCGGCAACGTCATCAAAGATTCAAGTCAGAGAAGAACCGCTACTAGGTTGGAGGCCATCGCCATTAGGTTGGAGGCCATCTCTATTGGGTTGGAGGCCATCATTGCTATTGGTAACCTCAAAAGGCTTTGCGCCTCTGAGTTTTTTGCGGCTGATGAAGGAGACCGTGAGCAAAGTCAGAGCGCTCGGGCAATGACGCCCTTCTGAACCTTGTCGCCTTGTGGTTCAAAGACCGCCGACGAATTCTCAAACAGGAGAGGGCGTGTCCAGGCACTGCTGTTTGAGCCGTTGTAACTGCGGAGTGCCAATGCCAGCACGCTGAGTGCGTTGTCATCCAAGAAAATTGTGCCGAATCGCAATTCACGCGTGGGCTGGCCACGGCTTTGTGCAGTTGCAGATCATCCAGTGGAGCACAGATGGGTGCATGAAACACGTGCCGGAGTGGTGCGACGAGTGGCAGGAGGCAGTGAGTCTTAGGTGATATAAAGGGCATGCGGATGCCATACAGTGCAGAGCGTCGCCGCAACAAGGAGGAGGCAGGACTCTAGGGCTTGTGGTCATAAGGTGCTTGCCGCCTCATGCAAGGGGAGCTCAGGCTTCAACGGTTGGTAGGTTGGGTAGATGGGCAACACAAAGTCATAGGAAAAGAATCGAGGGTAGAATTCACAACTGTCTAGAAGAAAAAAACATTGTTGATTCAGAGTGCAATTGGGCTTCAGCGGTGTTGGGGCCTTTTGTCGCCAAGCACAACAAGCGAGTGCATTCAGCGGACAGCACGGAGTGCTCCAGGCACAAAATTGACTCTTTGCCAGTGCCCGAATTATTTGCGACTGAGAGGAAACTACTAGCCAAAGACTTCATGGCAACCAAATGTTTACAGCATGCAGTATGCTTGCATATTAGGCAAGTCCGCAAGAATGCTTTATTCTTCACCTCGCCTCCAGTCTTATGATCCGGACAAAAAACAAACAACCTTGCGTACAAGGAAAACACGACAGAATCCACAAAGGTCAAAAGAGTGAGCCAAAGAAGGAATGACCAAAAGCCACATAGACCAATCGACCGTGGTCACCGACCACCTGCCAGGAGTACATGGACACCGACCAGCTTCTCTCGGAGCTGCACAGCGAGACTCGTGCGTTGGCCTTGTCCAAGGCTGAGCTCTACGCCTGGCAGACGCGGAAGCGAACACGAGACCAGCAGCTGAAAGTGCTCCAGCAGGACGAGACCGGCCAAGGCTTGATGTTCCACAAAAAGCACCTCACAAGGAAAAGTATGGTAGTGTGGTATCCCATAATCGTGTCATGTCCTGTCTCTTCGTGCCTGGATCACAGCTAGTTTCCTGGGCCGTTGTTGCGCTCCGCCAGGAGCTCTCTGCGATGGAGGGCGGCCGCGAAGCACAGCTGAAGAGCAGCCGCGCCAGGCGAATTCGGAGGGTGACCTGCTTGGTCCAGGTGAACGCTCCAAGATTCTCAAAATCCACGTGTTGCATGCGAAGTGTTTGGAGAGCAAGAATGATATTATATTGTGTTTTGTTTGTGAGAAAGTTGCGCATTGGAATTTCCGTTGAGATGAGTTTATGCCCAAGCAGCATGCACACCTGGCAGAATTTTCGTTGCTCCATGAGCCCAGACCTTTTGGATGGCTCTCAATCTGCAGACCATCTTCTCCTGACAACATCAATCCGGCTCAACACCACATCACATCCATCCATGGAACACGCCTGGAAAAATTGGCAAAACGCGGAACACTTGGGGGATCCTTCTGTGACCTCCTATCCCTTCTCACTTGACGAAGGTGCTTTGGCGCCAAGGGTTTTGCCGGCGCTTTTGGACCGTGCAACCCACCATGAAGTTTCATCCCAGGTTGCGCCAGTACACAAAAATCTTCCACGGCAACTGTTGTTGCCCCAAACAGTCTGTCTATTTTGAGCCAAATCCATCCTCCTCCAGGTGTATGGCTGAAGCTGCTGCTTGTCACGCAGCAGTTGAACAGTCCGAGGCAGGCAAACGGTGCCTTCGGAGTGCAGCGAAGCGGTGTGGTCATAGGTCGTTTATTCTAGATCTGTTGAATCGCAGCTTGGAAAGCGGGGCCGCACGTGTAGACCCACGGCAAGAGCAGGCGTAGCATGGTGTGCCGAAATCGTTAGCAGTTAGCGTACTTTGTGCAGGGCAGATGCCCACACAGTTCAACACAAGGTTCATATCGCAGGCTTAGGCTTGTTAAGTAAACCCAGTATTGGACACTGCCGATCCTATACGTGTTTGCCTCATGCAGCTTGCCTTGCATGGTACTTATCGGCAAGTGATTGGGTTGTGGAGTACATGATAAAAAGGGAGTAGCAGTAGAATATACCCTGAGCCTGGCTTCAATAGGAGTGAAGGATTCTGAAGGATGGGCATACAAGGTGGTGTTTGTTTCATGAAAAAGCAAGTCTTTCCTCGAGAACATCCTGCACCAGTTGCCACGCGCGCGCGCGCGTGTGTGTGTGTGTGTGTTGCAGGTTTTTGAACAAATGCAACTTGAGCTGTGTTTGTTGCTTCAGCGGCTGGCCTTTTAGCACGGTCGGACACCCAAGAACGTCCAAATTGCCAGGAAGCGCGCCGTGCACTGGCAGAGGCATTGCAGATGAAGGCTGCAGCAAGCAAAAACGATCAAGAACAGACGGCCTATTGGACCCCAAGCAATCAAAGCTGGATGACCAAAGCATCTCGAACACTTCCACTTGAAGGCTTCCTCATGGCTGTTGCTTTCTCACGAAAGGCTCCATTCGACTGTTCTCGAAGAAAGCCTAGCGATGGCCTCCGCCCTACTAGCGATGGCCTCCAACCTAGGCTTCTTGCTATTAGTAGTAATGGTCTTCAACTTAGTAGCATTCTTGCTAGTATAAGGCCAGGAGCCCCCGTTCGTAGCGTCCTCTTGTTCGCCTCTTTGGCCTCGTTCGTTTCGACCTCGCCAGGCCGAGGCCGCTCGGCGCCTGCAGGGAGAGATCGCCTCGTGCGAAGCTCGGGTGCGTGGCATGGAGGCGAAGGCCGACCACGCCAGGCGCGGACGCTGAGGGCGCGGGTGATGCGACGGAGGGTGAGACGCTGACGGCGGGTGAAGCGTAACTCATGGGCCAAACAGTGGGTGATGTCGATGTGAGGTCTTAGCTTCTTCCTCTTCCTAGTACGCGATGCACTTGTTCCTAATAGCTTCTTGTTACTAGTAGTAAAGCACTTGTTACTGTTACTAGTAGCGATGCACTTGTTCCTAATAGCTTCCTGTTCCTAGTAAGCAATGCACTTGTTACTAGAAGCAGGTCGAAACTAAGTCGCTTTGGAATCCTGACATTCGGGGCACAGTTACCCATGGGCCCTCGTTCGTTGTTTGATGGGTGATTTCGCGGATGGGTCGGAAAGTGGGTAGGCTCTGTGAAAAGGGTTTGTTGGAATTCAGGTGCCTTCCATTTTTGTGCTTTATATACAAGTCGTTGAGGTGGATGTGACACAATCCACTAGGCACTTTAGAAGAGAAAAAGCAACAAAACAAAGCCCGGGCCTCCATTTGCAGGCTTTAACTAGCACCTTGGTGGGGCAGCAAACGGTTCAAAAAAGAAAAACACCTTCAGAGCTGAAATTATCCAATGACACTTCAGGTTTGATTCGATAGCTTTCAGAATGGGTTCCTAGGCAACTCACTGGCACATGATTTTCCACATGATGGCACATGGAATCCGTTTGAAATCTGGTAGGTCACCGCTTTAGTCACCTCAAAACAACAGAATTCCTTTGCTGTGGCCAGATGCAAGTCTTGCATTTTGGGCCACGGTCCAGGGAGGCAGCGGGAACTTCCGCAAAGCCCTTCGGCTAGTAGCGATGACCTCCAACCTAATCCGCTTCGCTTCCAACTCAGGCTCAAAGCAATCAATTTTGGCCCCTAGCAGTTGGCCAGTTGGGCGGGCCCTGCGACTCGATCGTGCGACTCACGAAGAACTACGGTTGCGATTTCAGCAGCTCTGAAACGCTGAATTTTCTGAGGGTATTGCTACTAGGAGCCAGAAGCTACTAGGAACAAGGATGCTACGAACGGGGCTCCTGGCCTTAATACTAGGAGCAAGGACACTACTAGTGACAAGAGGTCCATCCAAGAACCGAGTCCTGAAAGCAATTCTTCCAAGAACCTAGCAAACCTAGCAAAGGGTTCAAGCCTTCTTTCATCCACAGCTTCAAATTTGTAGCCGTTTTTGGGAAACCAAGGCTTAGCCTTTTTGGTGTTTGCCGTTTTTTTTGTTAGCTCGATTCGCAGGGTGCCCATCTGAGCTGAACCGCCCTAAACTTGGGCGGCGCTTCAAAGGGCTCCGTGTGACACTGGTCAAAGACCAGGTGTCACGAGGAGGGGCACCATGTTTTTAAGGCCCTCGTGCACCTTCATTTTGGTTGAAAAAGGAAAGAAGGAGTTTCTGAAAGGAGTTTCACAACGTTGCTGTTCCATCTCAATATCACCAAATCAACCAACCGATATGCCCAACGAACAAGACACAAAAATTAAAGCAACATAAAGAGAGAGATGAACATGGAGACAGACTACTTTGAACGTCACTTCTCTTTTTCTCTGGTCCAGTTCTCCTTATTTTGCTTCGCGCCTTGGGCGCAAATACCCATGGCGGTTCTCCAGGGTGTGCGGGGCTTGTTGCAGCGGCGGGGGATGCCGCAGCTCCCACTGAGGCCGGACAGAAAGGTCCAGTTCTAGCGATAGCCTCCAACCTAATAGCTTCTTGCTACTCGTTCTGTTTTATTCCTTCGGCGTGACGTAATTTACTTCAGACGAATCTACTGGCATTTGGAGGGAGGAACTCCCAGAGAGGAATCAAAATTCCGACCTCTCTAAAGGGTATGTGCGAGGGGGTGTCCTATTACATGGGATACTGTTCTGGGCATACTCTACCTTCCCCCACGCTTCCCCCGAAAAATATTGCAATATTCTTTAGTTAAAGAAGCAAGAATTCAAGCATGCCTGGCATTGCCAGCTAATTCCAGACAATGATCATCCAGGCGTCAAATGTAGCACCACAAAAATTGCAGAATCTCTGATCCGATTGGCTTTCATTGCATCCTGGTGGGGACCCAACTAACAGGCGAAAATGGAGACCCGTGAGGAAGCAAAAACTGTGCACAGCCCAAAGAGGACCAGAAATGAACCCCTTCAGCAAGGTCGATTCACGCAAGTGTTCACCAAATATCATCGACGTACTAGTATCAATCTACTGAGACTAAGAAATGAATGGTGCGTGTTCAACATGGCATGTTCTTTTTGCTTCAGAAGGGGTGAGCGTTCAATCCTTAGCCAAAAGAAGCCTTTGCATCTTTTTGTCAGGGTACAACAAATATCAACATATAGGATAGGATAGGAAGAAGGTGCAAGGGCTTTTAGAGGTCCAAAAGAAGAATCAAACCCAAGGAGGCCATCGGTAGGTTGGAGGCCATGGCTATTAGAAGCAAAGAAGCTAGCAGCTACTAGTAACAAAGGGCATCGCTACTAGGAGCAAGGACGCTACCAGTAGCTCCTGGCCTTACTACCAGTAACCAGAAGCTACTAGGTTGGAGGCCATTGCTAGAAACAAAGAAAAGGCCACACGTTCAACCAAGGGCTCCTGGCATCGCTACTAGAAGCCTTACTACTAGGAACAAGGGCGCTACTAGGAGCAAAGGGCATCGCTACTAGGAACAAGAAGGCTACTAGGAACAAGTGCATCGCTTCTAGTAACAAGTGCCTTACT